GCGCAGGTTTAATTAAGGTTATAAATTAAGGTTAAATACACTTTATCTAAGAAATTTTTGCTCATTTTGGAGTTTTTATTTCTTTTAAGTGTCGCGTAGGAAAGAACTTCAAGGTTCAAAGTGAGTCGCCTGCACTCACAGTAAAGATAAAACAAACATCCACCACCATACCTCAGCAGTGGGGAATTGGCTTAATAAAATTCTCTCATTTTTAGGCAGCAGCGGTGCAATTGTTTAAGATAAATCACCCCCAGATGAACACTAAACATGCCACTCGAAGGTGACGTCGACTATAAAGTCAAACTTTTTTTCACCTCAGCCTACAAACTGGAAACAGGATCTGGACATAAGTTAAAATGTCCTAAAATAAATGTATTTACCCTTAATTTGAGTAGGTAAATGAAATAGTTTGCCAATGGATTGAGTATTTTTACCCGTAAAATAAGATAATTAGATAACACGCACTTGAATTAAGACAATGCAATTGTGCTTTCTGATTTTAAATAAGAAAATATTTCTTTTACCTCCTCAATCCATGAACAAATGCACTTATTTTAACAAAAAATGACATATGTAGATATGATTTTTTCCAGTGCAAAGGAAAACTGCCGTTTCATTGCAATCCTCATGGAGGTTGTCAGATCTGAGAGTAGAGACTTTGCAGGAGATGCTTCAGGTGTGTACCAACAGTCAGACATTAAACCGTAACAGCGACATTAATACCAGATGTGGCCTCCCTGCCAAAAAAGAACAGTAGCTGCAGATGTTGCAGGTGGAGGGAGAAACGAAAAGCATCAAATGATGACCGAGTTCAAGCATAGATCTCACTTACTTAGAAAGGAGGGATGGATTGTTTGCAGCATGACATGGAGATAAATCCTAAACCTTCTCTGAAGATTCTTAATGTGGATCATGTGTAATGTTCAGAGCCCAGAGCCTTAAAAGAGGATTTAGCTCAGATAAAAGACAACTGAGTGTTTCCAGTTGAGTTTAGGAGTCATGAAGCACAAATTAAAAGCACATTAAAACATCCCATTAGGCTGTCAGTTAATGGGATTGGGAGCCATTAGGGTCGGATGGTATCAACAGAAATCCTGCATTTGAAGTCCCGCCAACTGATCAAGATCGGCTGAATTTAAACTAAACAGAAGCACTCGGTGTTGGAAACTTTAACGGTTCTCAGAAAAAAAGACGCCCCGCTGCGATGCAGCTACGCATATGGAGACGCACAAAAAAAAGGAGATTGCAGAAGATTTTTGGCTTCGCTGACATCTCTGTTGGAGAGAAGTTACTTTTTATTGGTGGCTCGGGTCAGGTCAGACGTTAAGAACGAACTATGACCTGAAAAAGGAAGAGAAGGCAGATCTCTTGGGTTTTTTATGGTGGAGATACTGCTGTGTTCTCCTTTACTCTCCATTAGTACATCTAGAATAAGTTTACATGACACATATGAAAACGTGGCTAGTTTTATACCTTTATACATTTTTTTGTTATCGTATACATCATCCAGCATGATGCACAGATACTGGAAAGGCAGGATTGGTTCATAACAAAGAGAATTTATCCACTTAATGTTAATATAGGCGTAACTTTCTGACGGACTGGTGTGGACATGTCCCCACAAATAATTTCAATACATAGACTTTTCCTTTCAACAATATGTGCGACAAATTTCTATTTATTGATAATCACTGATGTAGCTGAAAGGGAAAACATCCATGAAAAGATCCACATTTTTCTGGATGGATAGTTGAATGAAACTGGGGAGACATGATATATTTCTGTTGGCGTTAGAATTGGCTGTTATTTGTGCTTTTTTTTTTTAAATACATTAATGTTTAACTAGCTATAAATATAAATATCAGTGTATTTTGGTTATTTTTTGTACTCAACAATAGGAAAGCATTCAATAAATATATGTTTGAGCTCATTTTTGAAAAATACAATCCTATATTGAAAGCGTTTGTGTTGAATAATTGTAGGTCCATCAGCGCCACCTTTAAAGCATACATCCTCCACTGTGGCTCCAGACCGCTCCGCTCTGAGTTTCTTGGAGATCGTAGAGAGCATGCGCGAGATGAACCAGGGTTTCCGCGGATCATTAAAAATAATTACAATTCATTCATTTTTTCTTTTTAAATCAAGGCCTTAATTGGCACTAAAATTA